TCAGAGACTTTATTAACTGTAATCTGTCTCCAGTCTTTGTACTTGTGCAATGTTGTGTTAGCTGGGAGTGTGTGTGTTAGAATCAGTAACTTTATTTTTAAACTCAATTTAAATTGGGATACTCCAGGGGAAAGAAAAGACAACTCCTTCCACGGAAAACATTCTGGTCATGTGCAGTAAGTTATCACTCAGTCTGTCAGTGATATTACCCTTTGATATTCTGTGACCAACTGGTCAGCTGTGCTAGCTGCCATTGGCTAACTGAGCATATATCTCATATAGATCACAGCTCAGTGCCACACTAGCAATGAAGACATGAAATAGTACTTTCAATTTTTAACAATCGCCCATTTCAGCAATCCTATATTATCTTGTACTGTGATTCCTGCTCAGCTAATGAAGATTTTAATGACAAGGACAGTGAACAAAGTGAAATCCATTGTTTTCCAGGCTTCTAAAGCACATAGATTTGTATTTTTTGTAGCTACTTTGGGTACAATACTGCATTCAAGCAACATTTTCCCACCCAACTGGAGAGGTGATGGCTCAATGGTATTATCGCTACACTATTAATCCAGATTGGGACCTGGGCTCAAATCCCACCACAGCAGATGGTGGAATTTGAAGTCAATAAAAATATCTGGAATTGAGAATCTATTGATGAGGAGGAAACCATTATTGGGGGAAAATCCATCTTGTTCACTAATGTCGTTTAGGGAAAGAAAATCTGCCATTCTCGTACAGTATGGACTACATGTGGCTTCAGAGCCACAGCAATGCAGTTGACTCTGAAATGACTGAGCCAGCCACTTAGTTGTATCAATTGCTATTCCTACCAATAAAGCCAGAGGCAGCCATATTATCCCAGCTTTCCATTAACTGACTTCAGCAATCCATCTGAGCAAGTGTTAGCATTCTTTTGACCTTTCTCTTTATTCATTCATGGGATGAGGGCATCACTGGCAAAGCAGCATTTATTGCCCACCCCTAATTGCCCAGAGGGCAGTTAAGAGTCAACCACATTGCTGTGGGTCTGGAGTCACGTGTAGGCCAGACCAGGGAAGGATGGCAATTTCCTTCCCTAAAGGGCATTAGTGAACCAGGTGGGTTTTTCTCACAATTGACAATGGATTCATACTTATCATTAGACTCTTAATTTCAGGTTTTGCTTTTATTGAATTCAAATTCCACCATCCGACATGGTGGGATTCTAACCTGGGTCCCCAGAACAATATCTGGATCTCTCAATTATCAGTGCAGCGATAATACCGCTAGGCCATTACCTCCTTTGAAACTTCCTTGTTACCTGTCTTTACTTGTATTGTTCAATTTCTGGCCATCTCCCTCCCACTGTCTGTCTTATTCTGTCCTTGTCTTTCTCTACCATGCTCTAGTTTCTCATGCAGCTCCTTTTTCCCTGCCTCAGTCTAACTGCTATGATGTCCTGTACTCATCACTCTCACCTTCTCAATGCTATGCTCAATCTCTGCGGTTTAATCACACCCCCTTGTCCCTCTGCTAATTGCCTCAAATCCTTTTAGTTCTCTGCGTAATGGACCCTTTTTGCCACTTCTTAAAAATTTATTACTTTGTGGTATGTGGGCATCGCTGGCTGGGCCAGCATTTATTGCCCTTGAGAAGGTGATAGTGAGCTGCCTTCTTGAACTGCTGCAGTCCACCTGCTGTTCAATGACCCACAATGCCATTAGGGAGGGAATTCCAGAATTTTGACCCAGCGACAGTGAAGGAATAATGATATATTTCCATGTCAGGACAGTGAGTGGCTTGGAGGGGAACTTGAAGGGAGTGGTATTCCTATGTATGTGCTGCCCTTGTCCTTCTAAATGGAAGTGGTTGGGGGTTTGGAAGGTGCTGTCTGAGGATCTTTGGTGAATTTCTGCAGTGGATCTTGTAGATAGTACACACTGCTGCTACTGAGTGTCGGTGGTGGATGCTTATGGATGTGGTGCCAATCAAGCGGGCTGCTTTGTCCTGGATGCTGTCAAACTTCTTGAGTGTTGTTGGAGCTGCACTCATGCAGGCAGGTGGGGAGTATTCCATCATACTCCTGACTTGTGCCTTGTTGATAGGGGACAGGCTTTGGGGAGTCAGGAGGCGAATTACTCGCCACAATATCCCTAGTCTCTGATCTGCTCTTGTAGCCATTGTGTTTATGTGGTTAGTCCAGCTGAGTTTCCAGTCATTGATAACCCCAAGGTTGTTAATAGTGGGGCCTCAGAGATGTTAACGCCATTAAATATCAAGGAGCGTTGGTTAGATTGTCTCTTTTTGGCAATGGTCATTGCCCGACAGTTGTGTGGCGTGAATGTTACTTATTCTTATATTCAGATCTGCAGTCCTTCTCTATGTTGATCTTTTCTGCTGGTCTATCCAAGCCATTTCTATTCTGTTCCAGGATAATAATAACATGCATTTATGTACAATAAAAGGAAAATATGGCAGATGCTGGACATCTGAAATAAAAACTGAAAATGCTGTTAAAACTCAGCAGGTTAGGCAGCATCTGTGGAAAGAGAAACAAAGTTAACATTTTGAGTCCAATATGACTCTTCTTCAGAACATAAAACATGTGGAAATGTGATTGGTTTTATACTATTAAGAAAGTGCAGACCACAAGTGGAACAAAAAGGTCAGGGAAAGGTAAAGGCAAGGGAGAGTAGAGATTAAAGGTGCAATGGAACTGATGGCAATGGGAGTGGTAACTGCTGCAGTGAATAAACAAAGCATTGGTCCAGAGTAGGTTAAGTAGCAGAATTAAGGGTCAGCTCTGATTGAGAGGTAAAACATCAAAACATGAGATAAACACAGAGGGAAAAATCAAAATGGAGGATAGAGTTCATGGTTGGAAGTTGTTGAAAATCAATGTTTGAGCCCAGAAAGCTGCAAAGTGCTTAACTGGACAATGAGGTATTTTCTTCCAGGTTGCATTGGTATTCACTGGAACACTTCAGCAGGCCTAGGATAGAAAAGTGAGCACGAGAGGAAGATGGTATGGAAATGAGAAGCGACAATAAGATCAAGGTCATGCTTACAGACTTAGTTGCCAATGTTCACTAAAGAGGTACTCAGTTTGCATTTGGTTTTCCCAACATAGCGAAGCCCACATTGTCAGTAGCAAATACAGTAGATGAGATTGAAAGAAGTACAGCAGGTTGTTATTTCAGCTGGAAGGAATGTTTAGGGCACTGGTCAATGAGGAGGGAAGTGGTAAACAGCAAGTGTTACACCACCTGCCATTGAATAGGAAGGCGCTACAAGAATGGGGTGAGGTGTTGAAAGCAATAGAATACAACAGGGTGTTGCAGAGTGTGCAGTCCCTTTGCAATGCTGGCAGCAGAGGGGAAGGAAAGGGAAGATGTGTTTGGTGGCAAAAATTATGACAGTTGATCCCTTGAACATAGAAGATGGCGGAATGGAAAGTGAAGGCAAGGGGAACCCTATCATGATTCTGGTTGAGAGCAGAAGCGATGAGGGAGTGTGAAATGGGTTAGATTTGTTTGAAGACCCTGTCAACTACAGTGGGGAAAAATCCATGTTGAGGAATGAGGAAGACATGTCGGAGCGCTGGTGTTGAAGGTAGCAGTGTCAGAACAGGTGTAATAGAGATGGAGAAACTGGAAAAATGGAATGGAGTCGTTACGAGAAGCACGATGTTAGGAAGTGTAGTCAAGGTAGCTGTGGGAGTTGGTGAGCTAGTAATATCAGTCAAGAGCCTATCCCTAGATGTGTAGACTGAGATGTCAAGGAAAAGAATTGAGGAATCAGAGATACACCAGGTGAAAGTACAAAGGTAGAAATTGAAAGCAAAACTGACTTTTTTTTTCCAGTTCTAGATCAGAGCAGAAAGCAGCACAATACAGTTTTGAAAATACCAGGAAAAGGCATTGGACTGGGAGAAGGAATCGTATCTTTAGTGTAGTAAAATGCCTATTTCAAAGTAACCATTATCAGACAAATTTTCACACTGAGCCACATAAGGAGACAGTGGGACAAGTACCCAAAGGAATGATCAAAGTGAAGAGACAAAAACAGCAGTTGCTGGAAAAGCTGAGCAGGTCTGTCAGCATCTGTGGAGAGCAATCAGAGTTTTAACATTTCGGGTTGAGTGATCCTTATCCTTCTCCTTCCCCTCCGTCCCTCTCCCTCTGTCTGGACCCTTCTGATCCTGTTGTCTATCGAAGCTCTCGCCTCCATTCTCCTGGGTCTCTGCGTCGCTCCCGGTGACGTATTTCCTGTGCGCCGGGCCTGTTCCGGTGTCTCGCTCCCTCAGTCCCGGACCCTCCGCCGCTCGGGGTCTGGCCGCTCTTCCCCGGGTCAGCGTCAGCTGCAACTCCCCGACGCCAGCGCCGAGTGTTTCTGAGCCCTGCCGCCCTGTGAGGAGGTGGATGGGAGAGTTAGGGACCGAGGATCGTGGGGAGAGGTTTGATCTGACTGTCTCACCATTAGCTCCTCCCAGTCCCCTCGGAAACACCGTTACCCCACACCCCCTCTCACCACCACCGTATCGCCCCCTTCCCTCCTGCCCCTTTACTCTCCTCCTCCTCCTTACCAGTCCCTGCACATCCCTCCTCCTCGGGCTCTTGCCCCGCCACTGCCTCTTGCCCTCCTGCCTCCAACCCCCTGCCAACATCCATTTGCAGCTCAGCAATTTTTTGTGCTTGATTGTTAGTCAGAATCACAACACTCAATGTTTTGGTCTCTGGGCCAGCTTCACTGCCAGCTAGAAGCTGAGCATTTGCGAATATTGGATAAATGCAGTGCTTGGCCATAATATGATGATTTAATGCCTGTTTGACAGTTGCTATCTTGGCTCATATGTAGAATAGTCACTGAGCCAAGATTACTAAAGCGTTGCTGGTTCAATTTGTTAAGTCGTTAAAAAGATAGACGCTTCCAATCAACTGGCACATAGCTATGGCACCCATGGAGCTGTATCATGAAATTCATGAGAGTGCAGGTGGGAAAAGGAGGCACAAAACAGACATTTAGGAAATAATTATCATTGTGGCATAACTTGAAATGAAATGGTTGCATTTGTCAGAGAGTTTCCTGTTGCCGCTTTTGTATTTTTCTTGTATTGTTGACTTGCAGTTGAATGCTTCTGATGCAGGAGAGCTGCAAGCCATTACCATTATCACAGCATCCTGCACCTATTGTGGAAAACTTATTGGAAGAATGACCCAACATGAATCATGTTACAATAATCTGTCTTTTTGCTTGTGTCCTAACGGCAGCTCATAAGTAACGAGAGACCTTTAGAGTAATAAATATAATCAAGTTGAAATAGCTTTTCGTCTTGGATGCTGTGTTATCTAGGTCTTGGATAAATCAATAGTTCACTAATTGTTTATTGACAAGTCATGGTGGCAGCAACACCAAATCATGATGACGATATAAATAAAATCAAAATATTAAATCATACTTCATAATTAGTAGCATATTTACAGATAATCATTAAAATATAAATTAGGAAAAAAAAAATAGAATTGTCCGATTTTGATCATTTCAATATACAAATAATTACAATATCACGCACAGTTCAGGTTTCATTAATTTACAGCCTGTCATGTATCCTGTTTTGTGTTGCAGACCATAGCTCATAAATTATCACGTTGAGTTCATTAAATTCTCTTTAAATTTATGTACTACTTATTAGTTCTATAAAATAGGCCTTGTGTTGTCTTGTAGTCTGTTCATTCTATACGCTATTTGCTGAATGGTACCTTCTCTCCATAATTCCATTCCCCATGGTATTTGGTAAATCTAGCAATTCAAACAAGCGGCTATTGGAACATGAGGTGCTTTTCTTCTGCTTTGATCTTTGTGACAAAATAATGCTACAATCTTTTCAATAAAGTCTGGAGGAACTCCCTCATTCCCTGCTTTTGACTATCAAACTGTCCATCTTACTTGGAAGAAGTTTCCACACTCTGGTTTGCTCTAAGTAATCTCATTGAGCAGGGAAATTTAAAGAGGTGATTTTAACTTGTTTCACCTGGCCTAAACAGGGCAGCAATGGTTTGAACAGTGTTATTTCACTTTTTTGCCACATTTGCAACATTTACCATTTTGGGTAGTGCGCTGAGACACATGACCTACATACTATCTTGATTTGAATGGGGGTGCTCACTGTAATAAGCAGGCACTGCTGGTGGACACTTTGAACATAGCTGAAAGCATTGCTAATACTTTGCTTTTGCTGGGACCAGAAAGAGCAGGATTGCTCTCCCTCAGGCTACAAGGAAAAAAAAACTCCAGACTCAAGTCTGAGATAACAAGGTGTAGAGCTGGATGAACACAGCAGG